CCCAAACAAAAGGCTAAAGAAATTGAAAATTCGGCAAAGAGATTTTTATGTCCGTGCAGCAGAAATTACTGCACCTTGGAAATTTCGATTTTTTCTCTCAAAAATTCAGGAAACGAAATTTAGCGCGCTGCATATTATGTTTACACCAGAAAACCAGGACGATGTTATACTGTGTATACGGATGCTCGTATGTATGTTTTTTGAATGTTTTTCTTAACAAATTCTCACACGTTCAAAATTTATGTAGTGCCAAATTTTCCGGAACAGTACTAATTTTGTATTCCTAAAACCAGAAATCAGCATATTCGCGTCATGTCGACCTGTGTTACCTTTGCAAGGCAACGATTTCGGAGAAGAGCCTGGTAAATGGCATACCAATAATTTGATATTCATAGATGGCCAAGGAGGAATGTGTGCGCACTGGTCTTGACCTTGCAGACTCACGAGACAGACGTGAAATATTGATTGCAATGGTCAAACGTCGTGAATTTTTTCTGCGATGATGTTATGGCATGTATGAAATTTGTTAGTGTTTTATTATTCATAGTAGTGGCAATATGTGAGCCGGCACTTCTTTTGGTGTGAAAAAAAATTTTCTTTGGTTCTAGGTCAGTTTGCATTATTATGAGTTATGGATGACAAATGTTACTAAAAGACTTAAACGAGCAATGGAAGTCGGAAAAAAGATGCCCTTATCCAACGTAAATGGATAGAATTTATGTATTATCCCAATGGGTTTAATTGTCAAGCAATGGCTGAACATTAAACTTTTATGAACTATTCGTGAGCGGTACCGTAGAAAGGCATCACCAGCAATCTCAGATTCTCTTGCTTGATTAACGTCAGGACTTACAAAACTTTGCGCACTATGTTGAGAGCGGAAAGGAATACTCGCATCTATAAAATTTAATTTATTTATCTGGATCTAACGGCGTATCCCAAACCCAACAAAAATAGAGAGGATTCCTCTTTTACTCTAGTCAAGTCAATTACAATAAACTGTCGACCTTGCAAATTTTATCAACGGAATTACGTCGCTTTTTTGTATATCCCCTAACAAAACATCGAAGAACAAATGTAATCTAAATTTTTCTTATTAATTTCGGCCAATCGAAAGTTATGTAGCTTGAATCATGTTGGAACGTCCCTCAGTAAAGTAAGGGATGATTTTTCCTTATCTTTAGGTCCGTTCCTCTTTCAGGAAAAAATTCGTCGAACGAAACGTAACATTTTCGCGGCATGGCTTTGGACTATTCGCAATGACTTGGTAACAATTTTTCTTTAAGATGATGTCCAATTAAAATCAGGTCATCGTTTTTATAGCGTGTTCCGCCTTCTTTTTCCATTAAAGTTCGATACGTTTTTAGAAGGCTGATAATCATATTCGTTTTTCCAGGAAATTGAAAGACCATTGTATATCTCCAGTCTATCCGATTACATTCGGATACATTTCACTATGGTCTGAGAATGTTTCCAAATTTAATTGCGCAAAGTTGTATCATGAGTATCTTAATTATGAACAAGATACTTAAACTATTTGGGACCTTCAGAAAGATTAATTTGCAAATAATCAAGGAATAAAGGAATATTAGATTAACTAAACTTTGAATAACTTTTATTGGTTTATGCTATGGTCTACGCGCAAATTATATATACTAAGGGAAATCAACAAGGATCTTAATGACGTGAATTAGAATTCAAGGTTTTCTATTCATTTGAACAAATTTGCCAAACCGCTCCAAGTATAGACCATCCTGTTAAGTTCGAAGGAGCAATAAAAATAGCACGCTGTGCTTGTCGGATGGCACTTTTTTTTGCCTTTCTTACAGTTTCCTGATCAATGTCATCCTCTCCAATCTGTAACAGAAGCGCTGCGGCAAGATTCTGATGCGCCTGGGCGCTATCAAACGTATTAGAAAGAGATGATCGAGTACTTCTTAGTAACGATAAAGCAGATTCGGCAATGGAAACAGTTGGATTAGAGCATGATATACTAATAAGGTGGGTTGCTAAACGGGCCCATGCCATCGCATTAGCTGGTTGACGATGTATGGCTTTTGATAGCCATCTTGTTGCTTCTTGTGGAGAATCCTGGAGATATTATTGTAAAAGAATGTTGACTCGTTCGTGTAATCAGAGCATAGCCAGTAACACAAACTCAGTTTCCATCGCTTACCTTAAGCAATGAGTAACAACTAAACAAAAACTCCTTGTCCAGTTTGCCTACATGATAATGTTGGCTTTTAATAGAACACAATCACAAAAGCGGATTTTCTGATGCTTCTTACCAGCAGATTCAAGTGACACCTTGCGTAACTCCATCAAGGATGAAATTGATAGACTTTCATCTTCTTGGAGTAAACCAATTGCACATAAGCCGAATAATGCCGGTAAATGATTTAGATCACTTGTAATGCTACATTAAAATAACAAGGTTTTGTTGAAAACCTACTGCCAATAGAATAAAAATTTCATAATTCGTTACTTGCCATTGAAAAAGTTCGTTTTTAGCCTGCTCGTACTCCCCAAGCCCCCACAGCACTTGAGCAAGTAACACTGCAACATTTTTACGCACATCCCCATTTACTTCAATCTGATCATCACTATCCCTCAACGCATCGAACATTTTCAAAGAGTCTTCCAATTGATTAGCAAAATAATAGGAAAGTCCAAGACCAAGCCGAGAATACATTCTGAATTCTGTTGATTCACTTTCTTGATCGGTAAGATTAAGAGCAGTAGTATAAGCAGCTATCGCATCATGAAAGTTTTCACTAGCACAAAGAACTCGTCCGAGGTTCCCATGCGCGTAAGCGAGCTTTCTTGAAAATGATATATCATCACCTTCTTCGCTTGAATTCTCTAATGCTAATATTGCTGCGCTAAATGCCTCTGCTGCGCGTTTAGGTTGATTAAGACGTTCAAGAACAAGTCCCATTAGATTTAGAGCTGCTGCGTCATCTGGCCTTTGCTCAATTAATTTTTCTAGAGCAAACACTGGAGAAACAAGTAGCGAGCTGGAGCGCGCAGGATTGGAAAGACATTCGTTGAATGTTTTGAAGGCGAAGCCATAGTCTGCTTCCAGCTAAATCAATTACAGATATACGCGTTAAAACGTGGCTTTTTATTTTGACATACTAATGAATATTAGCCTACCACATAGCCTCCGCTAATATCGAAAGCATGTTCAAACAATTCTGCGGCCTCCTCGTTTTCCCACAGATTTGCCACGAAAGCCTGGCCGACCCAAGCTTGGATCCAATCAGGATCCAAAGAACGTGCCTTTGAAAATGCTTGATTTGCAAGTTCCAAGTCGGAATGTAGTAAATAAAGGAATCCAAGATTCGTCCACGGGGCTGGATTCTAATTTTGCAGGAAAGCATGAGCGTTACGTGTTTATCGCTTAAATCTGCTTCGAGATCATTTTATCATACCTTTGGCGAGTGTTCTATTGACTTTATAAACGCATGCTGACTTGTTTTTGCGTTGACCGTCAGGCTTACAACACCAAGTGCATTCCAAAAGTTGAAGTTCGAAGGTTCAAGTTTTAAAGCAATCTTTATACATCGTATGCACATGGACAAACATGTAGAGAGCTCTTCGTCATTTCCTTCCGGCTGCTCCGAAAGAGTTTTATGCATATTAAAGTACGTAATGCCAAGGTCATGCCAATAGCCACCAACAAATTCTCTATCTTTGCCGTTAAGAAAAATTGCGTACTTGTACGCTACGCACGCACAGGTCAAGAAACATAGCAAAGTATCCAAAGAAGAGGCAACATTTTTACTTTCAAGTCCGCGAATAATATCCAAGCCAAGGTGATCCAATCCCTTAGAAAGATGAAGAGACTCGTCAATTTTTGCCGGATCGACATTATCGACAATATTTTTCACCACGCGGATATCTATAAGATGTAGGTAGTTGGGAAAACATCTAACGAGGGAACACAAATCGGCTATAAGCTTCCAAAGACATTGGAGTTGCTGGTTTATCTTTATAGCGCGTAATAATGCGTGTAATCCATCGTTTGTAGCAACGGTAGCGCGACCATAAAATCCTGTAACGAAATACTCTTTTGCTAATGCAAGGTAACTGTCACCGAGTCCTTTTAAAGAAGGTAAATGGTCCGCATCGCCTAATTCGACGGCTTTGGAAAGCGTGATGTTATATTGATTGATGGCTTGAGAGAACAGCCCGAGCTTTTGTTTTACATATGCCATCCGATAATTAGAAAACAAAGACTGAGGGTCGAGATCCATTGCTTTAACAAACGCCTTTATTGAGGCCGTGTATCGTCCCTCGCGTTGATAAGCCTCAGCAAGACCCTCCCAACAGAGAACATCTTTTACATCTGTTCGAAGGGCTTTCTGGAAATCCGCTATAGCATCCTGATAATTTCCTTTCGCCTGGAAAGGCGCGTATTATCGTTAAAGAAGGCATTAAACGTGTGCAGTCGTCATTTTTATACTTACTAATTCAATAAATCCTAAACGTTTCCACGCCCACCCGGCCCTGGAATTAGCTTGAATCGCGTTCCGGTATACAATCTCAGCCAAATCAGCTTGGCCGTCTTTGACATAATATGCGCCTAATTGTAGACCAGCCTCATCATTATGTGGGTCAATAGAGAACGCTTTCTGATAGCACTTCTTTGCTCGAGCGCTGTCATCTTCAATGGTTCGATAATAATGTCCGAGGTACGTAAATGCGTCGGCACAATTCTGATCAATGTTGATTGCCTGAAAGAACGACTTGAAGGCAAAGGCCTTATCCGTTCTGTAAGATTCTATTTATAAAGCAAGCTTGGTTACGAAAATCTTTCATTATGAACAGACATCCGAAACTCTACATACCGTCCATCGACCAGTAAATCCGTCCGAGTCTGTAATGGTAACGCGCACATTGGGGACAGATCTCCAAAGCTTCAGAGATAAGACGTTGTGCTTCATCATAAGCCCCTTTTGCGAAATATACCCAACCTATTTCACTTTTTGCTACGTGATTGGATGGATCTAGTTTGAGAATTCGTTCAAATGTCTCTATAGCGTCCTCGAACTTCTTCTGTGCGGAAAGCGCCTTCCCGAGACCCTAAAATCAAATTAATGAATGTCAAACAGGTAACAGAAACAACCTTATCAAACATATATAATCAATCTTGAAATGTACTTGTAAAGCTTGGATATTGTCTTTGTCTGTTTCTAGGATGTCTTGGTACAAAGCAAAAGCGTCAGAATGATATTTCGGGTCAATATTAAGATAGCAGTTGGCTATACATAATTCGAAGGATCGTCGGGTTCTATAACAAAAGAAATTCAGCAAGAGATAAAAACTGGGCATGTCTAACAATTAAGTCACTCAGAGAATATCTTTGCCTTTCTAAAAGAAATCCGGTTGCCTTCGCATCCTTAGATATTATGTCTCTTCCAGCCGTCGCATATTCAAGAGCTGAATCATAATCGTTTGAATCATGATACAACCAGCTGAAGAACAAATGACCAAAGACAGTGTCTTGTTGGTCAAAGTCTTCCTAGAGATTGATGAAAACCGTTTAATCAAGCCAAAAAGATCCATGGCTATCTTCAATCCATTATTACTCACATTAACTTCCAAAATTTCGTCAACAGTTTCTCCTTCTTTGTAACGTAAAAATGCTCTGACAATCTTAGAGTACCCAGTGTTCGGAAACTTTTCGACATACTTCTTCAATAAAGTCTCATCATAATCACCTGGATAAAACATGTTGGATTGTGCGAACTCATTTTCCAAACAAACGAATGACAACTGCACTCACTTAAATACTGAGCATCCGTATTTTCTATAAGTATTTCGTATGGTAATGGAGAACTGACATCTCTTTCCACGGACTTTTGTACTTCCTCCAGAAGTTTGTCTCGCAACTACAATAATGCGGGGGATATATTATCTATTGCAAACATCATTTGCATCACCTTCCACTCAGGTCTACTCACAGCAACTTTTTTAACCAAAGGAAGTGCTTTTATTTTTTTCTGAAGATGCTCCAAGTATTTTTCTACAACTTTGTTGAGATTGATTGATACTTCAGACTTTTCACTTAGACGAATAAGCCGTTCGTATATTTGTTCGAGCTGAAAGGAAGATTACTGAGAAACCTTATCGACCGCAAACTATGCGAGCTGGTTGCTGATGACTCGCTTACCTCCGAATTTGTATAGACCTCCGTATGGACCTGTGCCTGAATAGTAGAATGTGGTGGAGCACCCAATCGTTTTCGTCTTGAGTCAATCTCGCGCCGTATATAATCGGATTCTTCCGCCTCTAAGGTATCAGCGATTCGTTGTAGCGTATCTGATATTTTAGGAAAGCCCTCGACGTCTTTGATTATATCATAATACGGACTCTCTGGCAGCAGATATTTGAGCGCTGCGACAAGCTGATGAATAAACCACGTATAAACCGGATACTTGCTCACGTATGCGCTTGGTATCTTAGGAGACTTACCCCTAATCTATCCTTGATTTTATCCTGATTTAATTCGATCAATTTGCTTAACGTCTCATAGGACTGCTTGGCATCTTTACTGAGATCAAATAGCTATTAGTAACCCTAAGATATGCTAAGAGAAAAAGACGGATGAGCATCATACCGTTCACTCTGTCTCACTAGCAATTCCTTTAAAGTGACATTGAGAGCATCCCAATTCTCTTGCTTTTCGTAGAATTTGACGAGACCCTAATCAAAAGAGTGATTCATTTGTTAGAACTATTTGACGGGTTACATATGTATGCAGGGGAAACCCCTTACCTGCCATGCGAGTACTTGAGAATCATTAATTTCGATTGCTCTCCGGTAAGATTTTTCACAAGCATCCGGTTGATTAAGATTTAATTGAGCCACTCCGAGAAACACGAGTCTGTGCTCCATAATAGTGTTGGTTAATAGGCAATAATTCATTATTGCTGTAGTAGTCGACAATGCTTACGCGTTGTAGTTATCTGCCTGGTATTGCAGTACATTTTCACATTGTTTGATGGCTTCTTCGTAGTTTTTGGCACCAATGGCATCCCTTGCATTCTTCAGCGCATTCTTAACATACGACATGAAAGCTATTTGTATGTAGGGTTGATAATATACAGAGTAAATAAATAGATATCTGATTTAACCGCTTGTCAATCAACTACCGTATTTGGTCTTGATCTGTTGAGATTGAAATCTGAATAGTCGATCTATTACTCCATTGATACAAGTCCGTGTGATTTACTTTGCTCGCTTTGAGAAAGTGTCGGAATGGTTTGATTACGACATACAGCACTGTTCTACTCCCGCGAAAAAAAAAAATCTTAGTGTCGAAATCGCGGTAAAGAATTCGAAGCAAATGTGCACATTCCAGTAACCATGTACTGTTCAACAATGATCAGATTTGGCTTTTAACGTTGTCTTTGTCTCAATTTTAAATCGTTTCTTCCAAGACAATGAGAGCGTATTTTATTTAGTGAATGGTAAATCTTTGACTCGAGATATAAACGTAATGTATTCAAATTTATAATCAACAAACTAAAATTCGAATCCAAGGCGTAAATGCTCTATGTTAAAAATTGTTATTATAAAGCATTGGTTTATTGAATATGATTCAGTAAACGTGAATATCATCCAAAAGTACAATGTCATCAAAAGTTATGCAATTAAGGTACTTTATTATGTCATCATGTACTTGATACCACTGAATCATATTAATTGTATTACTATTAAAGAATTGACATTAATGATTTGAACTTTCGACGTACAATCGTCAATCATAAATCATACGATTAAAACGCGACGCACCATGCGATTAGGACGAATTGTGCCATTAATCATACTACGTATTAAAATAAATCACAGTCGTACTATTTAATATCGTACGTTAACGATTAAACGAATCGATACCAGCATTAAAACAAGTCGTACCTTTCTTTGAATTATATGATGGAAACGTTGAACATCTCACGTTAAAACGAATCGTACCGTAGAATCATATAATTAAACGAGTCGTACCATTACGCCTCAGCCATTTGGCGCTTTCTCTGCTCCCCATCGAGCCCAGCAATAAGTCAATGCAACATGGTTTCTAGAGTGAAAGAACTCAAATCAAAGTCTAAATTCTAGTCATTATTGCCTCTTCTTCGCTTATTAAACCATGAAATCTTCAACTTTCTTTTATGTAAGGAGCCAATCACTGAACTCTCTCTATAAAATTGAGTGAACCATCAAAATTCTTCTTTTGAGATTTTCTTGTAGTTGCTCACTTACTTATCTTTATCAGTTAATTGTTTTTTTAGAAAATTAATTTTATTTAATAACTTGGAGTTTATTTATAACGTTTACCATAGCATTTCTTTTATTTCTTTTATTTAATATAAATTTTTTTATAAAAAGTTTTTATGTCATTTTATATCAACTTTCTTCTAAAAAACAATATAAATAACAAAAACTTAATCCCTAATAGTGGCTTTAATTGATCAGATTAGTGCTCAAAGCTTTATCAAATAAGAGTAAACGAATTTTTAGATTAGTTAATTTATTATACTGGTTTAGACAAGTAATATCTTTGAATTCGTTTCTAACAAATGGCGAATATTATGATAAAAATATTCTTGTTGTTTATAATCCAAAGAAGGCGGAGTTAGAACTAGGATGGGAAAAGACATAATTTCTTTAATATTAAATAATTTCAGAAACATTTGTCTTCTTGTTTTTAACAAGTTAAATCCAGTAAACACACCATTAGCAACCAACTGACTTTGAGATACGTTTTCTGACAAAGTGGAGTATTACGATCTCAGTAGTAAAACGTTCGCTCTAAGACGTCGGCTGGCAGTTATTTCTCCACCATTCTTGCTTTCAGTTGGTCTATTAAAAATATATCTTGTTCCAATTTAGAGAGTGTTTGAAACGCCTCACGTAATTCGGCAAACTTCTCTTTTAGAACCATTTTCGAGCAACCACCTTATCTCCAAAAAACGCGCGGTTTTTTCATATTCGGTAGAACCATTTACATTATAATTATCATTCTTCATATACGGGTATTCCTATATATAAATTTTGTTATTAACAGCTTATTACGCTGTTTCTGGTTGATTGTGTTTTTCTTGACATTGAACTAACAATACTATATATAATAGTACTCGCATATGTAATGGAAAAGATTATAATAGAACACATTTTTATTGTCAAGTTATTAAAATATAAATGCAATTGTTTAATGACTGGTACCACTAGTGAGCCGATCGGCTCCGTTTGGTCTACATAATAGTATATGTCACCCTGGTCTGGATACATGATGGTGTTGACGTGAAACGTTTTCACTCGTTTTGTGTATACCGGTTCAACTATTAGGAAAAATTGTGAAAATGACAAAAAAAACTACAAAAGCTCAAAATGATTACAATATTCTTACTTGCACTGATAGTGGCCTTTCTCTTTCCTTCTCGTAACTTGGTCAATTGTTTTCTGCCTAATTGATGCAGCCTTACTGCATATTTTCAATTTAACGAAACTGCCCTTCCCAAACAAATGCTGTCCAATATTTCTGGCACAAAACGAACGAAATAAAGTGAATGTTTTTATTCATCATTCCAAACAGAGCCGCCAACATTCAAAACAAATGTGCTATTACATATAAAATAAATAATAATAAGTACGTAATGGCCGGTTTAGCACAAGAATTCAGGGAGACATACATGTTTTTGTCATTCGCACAGACAATTCTGAGACATTATAGTTACCAGACATTTCACGAAAACGTATTAGCAAAATAATGTGTCATATTGAATAGTCTGACCATTCGTAAATATAATGATTACCAAAAATTGTGGCAATGTTTTGAACAAATGACAGAAATTCTCGACACGGTTCTAACTTGGTCTACGAAATCGCACTGCGAGCTGTAGGTTGTCGGAAAAGTTTTGACAACGTATTTTTATTTCATAATCTGTGCACTTATTCAAATGCGGTGACAATTGTTGAGAAATTTGCTTTACAATTTTCAAGAAAAATATATTGTCAAATTTCCAGACACCCTCGTATATTAACTTATCGTTAATACATTTGACTGTTTTGCATTTATTTTCATCCATCAGTTTGTTTTTTTTGCTACACACTGTATTTTCACGTACACTTATCTAACACGGTAAATTTATTCAACTATTGAGTGTCTTTTTTGCTGACATCTTTCTTCTTTGTGCACATAATGCGTCATTAAATCCGTGAGATGAGAGAAGAGGACTAGTAACTGAATTATCATTATTGTTTCTGAATAAAAACTTTGGTTCGTATTGCCAACTTGACGGATTATTGCTTCAGAAACTAAAAATGGTGAAGAGTTTAATAGTATACCAAATTTTTGTATCGACTGCAGGCGTCATTATGCAAAGTTTAATTCACAATAAAAATAAATATGATTATACAAGGTTCGGTGATCCTTAGTCCCCGTCTATTATTGTCTACTGCATCATGAATTACCTATTCCTGAAGCTAACCAGTAGGTTGGTGTGAAAAGAACAATAGCAATAGAAGCATTCTTTTAGTGAGAGTAATGAAAAAAATTATAGCGCTATAATCATCTATCCCTTATGAGCTATCTTTTATTGGAGTGCTTGTGGAGGCAACAACGAATCTCACACTCATCACTGTTTATCAATCTTAACCACAACCTTATGTCCCAACCATTCACTCATTGTAGTAGTCAGAAACTGCCTTAATCTTCCTTTATGTCGCTTCCAATTGTTCTCTCAAAACGGTCAAACACGTCTTCGCTCATTAAGACATAATGTACACTATCGAAGGCTGATGACGTGAAAGACTGTTTTTAGGAAAGGACGCGCGGAGATAACGACAGAAACTCAATAATTCTGTTGGTAGAGCGTCAAGGCCGCAGGTATCGTCATTGCCTATTTTTTTTGCTGTTAGCTGTATTAATGAATGGCTAACAATTGTCTTGTTTCTTTTAAATTCTACAAAGACCCACCGAACATTGCCAATAGATCTTCATCATTAATCCATTGATATTGTTACTAATATTAACATCGAATCTCACTATTAGTATTACTATCATTACAACCACAAACACTCCTGTCACAATTACTCGCACTCTTAACAATAACTTCCTTTAGGGAAACTTACCACCCCATCACTGTTAAGACGTTTTTCAACATTATTCCTATGATCCTTATTCCGCAGATGTATTTTTAAATTATTCAAAGTAAAATCTGGTCCCGTACGATATAACTTCCCCGGACAATCATAACAGCGTATGCAAAGCTCATTTCGGCGTTCTATTATCTCAAAGCGATCATTTGGATACCGCGTCTGCAACAAGTCACGTTCTTTGATAATCCAATCAGGAAGCACAACTTGTTTCTGTGAATCATACAATACCTAAAGTGAATATAGTTGAAAGAAAGAAAGAAATATTTTGCAAACACTGAAATTACCATGCTGTTTGTTGACGCCGACGAAGTTGACGAAGACTGTGTGGTAGTAGATGCGGACACGGATGCGGGTGCGGAGGGTTGTGCGGAGGGTTGTGCGGAGGGTTGTGCGGAGGGTTGTGCGGAGGGTTGTGCTGAGGTTTGTGCAGAGGGTTGTGCGGAGGGTGGTGCGGAGGGTTGTGCGGATGGCGGTGCGGATGGCGGTGCAGTCGCCGAATGATTATCAGCAGAATTTGCATCCTGTACATTATTAGAATTCTTCTTTGACGTAGATGATGCTGCCTCCTTTGGCGCTGTGATTGTTATTCTCGGAGATGCTGAGACTCCAGCTTTAGCAGACTTTTTGCTCGCTTCCGATTTGTTTTGTTTACCAGCATTTGATTTAATTTTCTTTTGATCGCTTCTGGGTGGTCTCTCCTTCTGTTTAACGCTGATTTTTGGCGTTTCTGCGAGTTTAGTCGCCGACGCTGGCTTCGGTGTAGTAAGACTAGCCGAAGATCGAGGTTGGGTAGGCGCAGAACTTGTGTTGTTATTACTAGGTGAGACACCTGGTGATGATATCGCGGGGGTTGGGCTTTCGTCAGGAGCATCTGAAAAGATTGTTTTGTGACCATCTAGTCGATTAGTTTGTCATGATAAACAGCAAAATCCTAAATACGATAGAAAAATTTACGTGTCAGTAAGGTCTGATCTTGTGAAAAATAAGAAATTGTCCAAAATAAGATAAATCAAAACTCACTTCGATTGTGCTTCGTGCTTACCGCAGGCATTACATAAATTCTAGTGAGTATACAATAGATTAGAAACGTTGTGTATATGAACCGCGAGAAGGTTGAGCAACATAAATATACTTACCTTATCAATACCAAGCCCTTTTCGTGAAGAAGGTAATTTTGTGCCACAGCCGTCACATGCCCACTCCTCTAATTCTTTGCTGGGTGGCCCTGAAGCTTAACAGTGATCAAAAATTATAAAATAAATATGCTATACACTCAATCAGCATTCGTTTTATTAAAATCTATTAACACTACTAACAAACAATGATGAATTATCTATGAATACATATATACAATGACAGTCGCCAAATTACAATCCCACACAAATCTGGAACTGATCTAGAAACCTGACTCAACTCGACGCTTCTTCACTACCTCTCTTGAATCACGCGAGGGAGTACTTGGCCCCGCAGACCCTGGACGACCCGAGTCAGAATCCATAGAACCTGTCGCTTGCATTGCTGTGGCACCGCGTAAAATTGTGGCAGATGTCCCCGGACGACCTCGTGCGCGTTGTCTTCCAGAAGAGGGCGTTGCGCTCTTATCAGCAATTGCTGAATAGTTATCATAACCTAATGAGCTGAGTTTACGTAAAACTGGAGGAAACCCGGTGGCAGTGACTGCAATAATGTTGGTTTCGTCGGCTGGATCAGGGGCGTAGGTAAGATTGTGTATGAGGGTGCGATGGCATTTTGGTGGTTCGCGGTCAGGAAGAATTACGCCGCGTCTGCCACGGGTCTGCCGTCGTTTCCGTCTATGTTGTATTAGTAAAATAATAATCCAAAATTACACGCGAGCTTTCAAATGCAAATAATTATATACACGTACCTGGCATCTCTTTCTCTATCTTTCTCTATCTTGTCTATTTCAGCTTCTGTCAATTCTACTAGCACTGGTGTGTGCGCATCGACAGAATCTTCCTTCCGTACTATATTCGTCACAGGCGGCAAGAAACTCTGTTTCAGGTCGTCGTCAATGACTGGTGTACCGTCAAACGGATGTGCGACCAGTATTAGCGATTTAACGTATATTTGTACTTGCTCTCGTATGGAATGAGCGATTGCCGTTCTATAAGATAAATACGATATGTTAAGATGTCGAAATCTTCACAAGCATCAATTCTCTATTTCACAAAAAAAAATATTAATGATTTACTTGAATTCACCGCTTAGCCCCAGTTCGGTGGTAAGAATTTCAGCAAATAACTCAGGATCGTTCTTCTGATTGTTAATGTCCCATTCAAACTGGTCAACAAGTGATATATTTCCGACGGTTATGTCAATCTACGAGTAATAAACATGTTAATTTATAATTGCAAACTGGCAAATTCAGAAATAACCAGCGATTAACCTTAATTAGTATTCTCAGTTCCTCAAGTAAGCATTCATCAGCGCCTTCCTCTGCAGCGTTACTTGACTGTAAGTCAACGTCCATCTGCTCACTTTTTACAATAGCCGACAAATCCATATTGGGTATTCCGGAAAGTAGATCAGTTCCTTTTCCAGCCGTTGATTGCGGCGCGGTTGCAGGATGCAAATAGTATCCTTGTAATTGGTCTCGCATTTGCTTAGCTATTTGGTGCACAAATGAAGCCGGCGGAAAATGCATATCGTCGCAGAGTATCTCCGCAAAGTGTTCTGGACTTATTAGACTTTCTAATTGACCGTAAGTTAAGCAAAACTAGTATCAGCATTAGAGCAAAAAAGCCGTCTTGCTTTGAAAAGTATTTTGGACAAACTCATGAAAATACCATATAGATTCCATGTGAAGGTATCACGCAATTTATGTCCATCCGAATCAATCTCCAATCGTATCGGAACAAGGGCAACGTCCTTTTGGGCTAAATCGCTCATTTGATCAAGCGTACTAAATAAATATAAGCAAATTAACGATATACATTCATCAAGGCATCGCAACAAAGCCAACAAGTTACTTACAATCTAAACTCACGGGTCCTTCTTGGTCGCTTTCTCTCGTGTGGATAAAGAATCCTGAACCTGGTTCCTGTCATACCGTTGCCATATCCATTATAACCCTCACCAAAAATAGCAACATAATTCCTAGGTTGTCTAAGTTCGGCGTGGGCAATTTCCATTTCTTTCCATTTCTCGCTTCTCAATGCAAAATGTCTCTTATGCTGAAGATCAAGCGCTTTTTGATATAATAAATCTCTGCGCACATATTGATCTAAATATTGTTTCTGAACAGGAGTAAGATCAGGTGCGGGCTCATAAGGTTTAGAAATTGAAGATCGAGATTGAGAATCATGAGAAGAGTGATTATGGCGGTGATGGAGAGATTGGTTGACTGGTGCACCACTGTGATGACGTTTATGACCCTGAAGATTGGAAGATGATTCTTGGAGAGATTGCTGATGGATTTGTGATTGCTGTTGCGATAGTTGTCTCGTCAATTGTCGGAGTTGTTGGGATTGCGGTCGTAATTGTATTTGTGGCTGCAATTGCTGTTGCTGTTGTTGCGACTGCTGCTGTTGTTCTTGAGGTTGTTGTTCTTGTTGTTGCTGCTGCGGCTGCTGCTGCTGTTGCTGCTGTTGCTGCTGTTGCTGCTGTTGCTGCTGCTGCTGCTGCTGCTGTTGTTGCTGCTGTTGTTGCTGTTGTTGCTGTTGTTGCTGTTGTTGCTGTTGCTGAAGTGTTTGTGGTGACATCTGTGGAGTTTGTGGTGGTCTTATTACCGAACGTGCACGTAGACGTTGTTGTGCAAGATTAATCATTTGCTGTTGTGTGAGTTGTTGGCGTGATGACTGGGATTGGAAGAGTTTTTGTTGGTTTAATTGTTGTGGCTGCGCCTGCTGTTGTAATGAAGCTATTTGCGATCTGGGATTGCCCATACGACTAACATTTTGTGGCATTCGTTGCATGCCTTGCTGAAATAGATCTATTCCTATGTTGTTGCCAGCACTCTGTGAAGTCAGAGCTCCCAAACCTGGATTCAATCCAGCTGTATTAAATACGACCTTCTCAAAAGACGATAGTGGAGGTATTGATGCGCCGGTTACGGATTGTAGGCCTTGTCTATCTTGGTAAAGGTATTGCCCTATGACGTTATTTCCAGTTGCCAGTTGTTGTTGTGCCCCGTAATTTCCTACTCCACTAAATTGTTGCTGTTGCTGCTGCTGCTGCTGTTGTTGTTGCTGTGCAATTGCAGCGTTGATCATCCTTTGCTGTTGCGAGTTGAAGTTCGTATACTGTGGAGATGACTGTTGGATTAAGCCCGAATTACCAAGCGCGGAACTGCCTTCTGAGTATACGGCTTGTTGCTGTGGGTTAATGTTCGGTAAATGATCGTAGGAATCCATAACTTAGTAATTTTATCGGCGAGAATCAAACGGCGGAAGTAGATCTGTTCAGAGAGTTTTAACTCTCTACGTAAAAGCGTGCTGTACAGTTTTCTCTTCCTGCAACAATGCCTAACCCTAATACTTGTGGCTTCTTTATTTGGACAATACTCGCTGATCTTTGTAACAAATGTCATATGATTACCCATTGCCGCAGCACATACTCGCCAGGCGACTATAGTTGTACCTATTTTCTTACTTACAAAAAATTGTTCAAGCATATTGCTAGAATCATCAAATTCAGGAATTTGAGTCTTGCAATTCTAAGCCTCGAAGCAAACAAACGCGAACATTACAGTAAAGGAGTGTGGTGACAAGATCGCATCGATTCAAGTTACTATGATAAAATCTGCGTTATCGAATTTGCACGTATAAATAAATAGTCTACTAAGCCCCAACAAATTCGATGTTACAGGCATAGCAATTTTAAGAACCATAATTAAGCTTGTTGTTCGATACTCTTGAGCTTAAAACTTATGGAAGATTAAAATTTCCGGGTTCGAAAATATAGGAACGTTTATATTAAATTGTTAGCAAGTTCAATCCAATGAACGCTCTCTGAATGCATAGCAAGTGCTGAGTCGCAGTGATGGGACTTATGAGATAAGGGCACGTTCTATGTTCTGTAATTGCTTCTCTCGACCACAGCCCTGTGCTAAATGCAATACTATATTATCATTGTAAAATGCCTGATATATTAGATTTTCAACGAACGACATTAATATGATAAAGTACACATTTCGCATTTTAATATTTATCCAGTCAAAAGAACAATTTTTTTGCATTCTTACTGGATTTAACAAATGGCGAATTCGTTTCCAGCGAAACTTCCAAGTATACGTTGACACGATTTATTAAGGAAGCTTGAAGATGCTCTTGGAAACAAACAAAATATTCGAGCTTGCATAACACTGTATATTATGCGGAAACGAAATGATTATCATTTCTCTAAAATAACAAATACGATGTTTATTAAATTTAAATTGAAGCAATTAATGTTATAATAATAAGGATATTTGTAGAAAAAGGATTCAACGGATAAATATTTTATAAAAGTATGTACGTATGTATATTCATGTCGAAAGCGGGTCTCTCCTAAATTTTGGAAGATAATAGTAACCAGACATCTATTGTCAGTCAATTGCTGATAATTCGGCCTCCGGTAATTTGATCGCTTGAGCAAGACCCGATTTTTATTATTATTATTTTTCTTAAGTACGTCTGTCGTTAATTCGATTATACGTTAATTCGACCGATGACTCCGGAACGGAGGCGGTCGAATTAAAGGCAATTGACTGTATAAGGAAGTAGAGAATCATCAACGCGATTGCAATTAGGTTTCGCGTTTGTCCAACCGATGCACGTGATCAAGATATAATCACCAAAATTTCTCCCAAAAAATTGGGCTAGTTTAACATTTAATTACAATGATGACGAAGACGGCCTGTATGCGCACGTTAATTAATACTCAAAGTCGACGACACATATCATCCAAATCGATGGCTCAAAAACATGGTCTTTATCATGAGAGATTCGAAGCTGTTATTGGGCTAGAAATTCATGCGCAAATAAATTCGAAATCAAAATTATTCTCTTGTGGGTTTCAGCGTTGATAGGAATTGTCTTCATACCCAGACGATGCAATGAATAAACAACGACTTTGCCCCTTATTTGTAAACAGCGTCTTCAGCATCATTTAACAAACCAGTCAGTTCCAATGTATCAGTTATTGATGCTGCATTTCCGGGAACTATTCCGGTACACTCGACGTCTAGTTTTTTGCCATATCTGTGTATAATTAACAAGCGATTTAACGCCTAAATAATGAACACTACAGAAATTAAATAAAAAGTGTGTCGATCTTGCCGTTGCTACAGCTTTTGCACTATCAGGAGAAGTTCAAAGGATCTCATCCTTTGACAGAAAACACTATTTCTATCCGGACTTACCTGCGGGGTATCAAATTACACAGCATTACGGTATATACTTACCGTCAACGAAATGTAAAAAAGAGGACTTCTTTATGTAAATTTAGTATTCTAACTGTTATGTTTATCAGCGCCGTTATCTGTCGGTGGGCAGATCCGACTCTCATCACTGGACGGTTTGGATTTTGAAAAAGTGATCCGTATCAAACAGCTTCAGCTCGAGCAAGTATGTGCTGACAAAAGCGCAATTGGCATGATGCAACTATTTACCGAAACACATGTAATCATTTAGGATACTGGCAAGAGTATACGAGATGTTCGGCCGGGAATGACTTTTGTCGATTTGAATAGAGCAGGAATTGGATTAATGGAAATTGTAACTGAACCTGATATCAGGTGACGATCATTAGCATTATTATTCTTCTTATATTCAATAAATAACACACCTCAAATCGTTTTCTAAAGATCCCCAATCGAAGCCGGCCTCGTGGTGCGTAAATTGCAGGCTCTCATGCGTGCCCTAGGGTCATCAGATGGCAACATGGAAGAGGTAAAATTGGGTTAATCATTCGCTCAGAAATATCATTTGCGTAGGCAGTTGGTTGAATACCATAATATTACACTATGGCGGGCTTAGGGATCATTACGATGCGATGTAAATGTCTCTGTCCATGAACCTGACAAAACCTTCGGCGTTCGATGTGAAATCAAAAATTTGAACAGTATAAAATTCCTCGTGTCTGCCATCGGTACATTTCCATCACATCTGTACTGTATTATCAAAAGTTGTCTTAATTCACGTACGTGGCAACTGTCCTATAGACGCGGAGATTCAACGTCAAATTCAAGACATCTGTCGTGGTGTCAGTATCGTGCAAGAGACGCGTGGTTATGACGTCTCATCCAGCCGGACTTACAGGCTAAGAGAAAAGGAAACAGCACCCGATTACAGGTTTGATTTGATCAAGTCTGAATATGATTGAAACTTTTTCATAATAATTACTTTATGACTTTCGCTACACGCAATAGATACATGCCAGAGTCAGACTTGCCACAACTGATTCTTTCAGAGGTAGTTAGAGTAACGATACATGTACAAGCATGAAAGAGAAACTGACGTGATTTTGACGCTTCCATTTGCATTAGGATTACCTGCGACGCGTCAAAGACTCACTTCCTGAATTGCCTGACGACACGAAGAAACGATTGATTAAGCAATACAATCTATCCTTGAACGACGTTTCGACTTTATTAGGAGAGAGCGGCGGCATTGAATATTTTGAAAAGGTGCATATTTTACAAATAATATAAAATTTAAGGACAACTGGATTAATACGCATCCATTCGCATAGGTAGCAGCCGCTGGTAGGAATCCCCAACATGTCGTCAATTGGTAAGTATTGTGCGGCTCAATCAATCGGTTATATATACATCTTCATATCATAATATAAGTCTATTTAGGATAACACACGAACTATGGGGAAGATTAAATTCAAGAGAGATCAGATTTCAGGATAATCCAGTTTCAACTGAGCAATTGGGTTCATTGATCGATTGTGTAATCGATAACACTATTTCTGGTAATTTACCATTACAATGAACTCCCTTAATGCTCATAGTTTGCATCAATGGCAATTTTTACGTTGTAGCATGAAACGTCTCCCAATGTTCAGCTGATCACTTAATTCAATATATGCATGTCAATAGGCAGAACGGGAAAAGATATATTGAATCAGATGATCGATGGTGATAATCGATCAGCATTTGAAATAGTCGAAGCCAGCGGGTTAAGACAGCTATCAGACCCCGATGAATTATCTAAAATATGTATGACGATTATTAAAAGATTTCCACAACAGGTAAGAGAACGTCATTGCTTTTGAACCGTTTAAATTCAAATAATTAAGCCGCTCTGTCTATAAAGGTTGAGAGCATCAGAAGTGGCAATAAAAACACTTTCCAATGGCTAGTCGGACAAGTAATGAGGGAAACGAAAGGGAAAGCGAACCCCGCTCTGGTCCATAAAACATTATCAGATTTAATTCTCAAATAAAGCTGTCCCCATTTTCCCAGACGTATGAACTACTTTCGAATACAATATATGAATCTTGCTACACATAATACACGGGTGCTGGAATGGAGACTGCCTGCGGAAGTTGTAACACAGCCTTGAAATCGTGCAACTCGTTAACATTAAATTTATTCTCACCCAAGAGAACATGATAGTGAGGTTTTCTGCACGTTCCAAAGCTAGTGGAACTAGATTGTAGGAAGAAATCGTACAGGAAAGGATGTGTTATAGTACTATCGGCAATAGTTCCCGGAGGAACGTTACTCTTTTTGTCGTCCCAGTAGAATCGAATGTCGTTTGCCGACAACAATATAGGTAATCGGTGGCTGATAAACACGATCCAAGTTAGCGCATGCATTTCGGATACCAGACAACTCTGATCAAGTGCAACGGATTGAAATAGAGTCCCAGGTATACCATCTCTATATACAACAATACGATCGGGAAGTTTCTGGTTAACCTCTTGATATTCCCTCAGAATCTCCTCAACCATGCTCTCCATATGAACGATACCCTCACGATATCTTCCACTCCCTTTTTGATACTGTGTCGTGTGCTTTTCCGTATATCGGATGGCGTGTCTATCGAGAGAACCGACAACTGCAATGGACGGAATTTCTTGACTCCCAATGTTGGATGGGTTATGTCAGCTCCAAGGACCAGAAAAGAATCTTCCTGCAGTTGAGGAATGGAAATAACAGAGTTAGTGCCATCAAGTTTGAGGTTGAGTTTTAGCGAAACATTTAAGCAATAGCCTCGCATGTTCTTTGGATTAAAAATGTATGGTGCGCGAACGCATTGGGAAAGTATTCCAGCGATTGTTTCAAGTACTTGCTTGACCGCATCATATTGTGGTTTGTTCATATGTTTTCTTTCACCACGGTCGTCATCCACAATGAATAATACCACCTGTGGCCTAACCGTCGTTCCCTCAAGAAGTTTCACATACTTTGAAATCGCATGATGAACAGATTCCACAGTAGAACCTGTGTTAATAAATCATGATGGCCGGCTTCGCATGGCTGATCCGAAGCCCAACTGAATTAGCAGCGGCAACACCACTTCCCAAGCCCGCTTCGGAAAAAATTCCAAAAAAATCAATATTTTTGTAGCTCTTCACCACTTTGATAAAGTTTGACACCAGTCAATTGCCATTTCGCCCTGTCTTCATTAATTCTGGGACTACTGTGTTTCGAATTACCATTATAATGTACTTTAGGAATTTCTTTTACGACTGCCCCTACGCGTTCCATCTCCTGCCCAACTTCAAGTCTGAATTGCTTTAGTACGGGATCCATTTTCACCGCTAACTTGGACTTCATAGCATCGTCGATAAGTTTAATGCTTTCTCCCGGGATAGTCTGATAAGTTTGTTGCGTTGCATTCAAGTTACCCCAATATCTTTGACCCTATGAAAAATTACAAATCAGCGAGTAAAATCATATATTGACTACGTGAAGATTCTTACCTCAACAATCTCGTAACATTCTATGGGCAGTTGCTTATCTCCGTTTGATGCTTCAGCCAAATACATGTATTTTAAAGTGATGCCATATTTTGTTTGGAAATAATCTCTCAGAGAAACCTCCTTATTTGCTGTGTGTCGAAAAACCTAAAAGTACGCGCATCTGCTGATGATAACTTTTTTGATTGTATATTTTGTTGTAGAAATATTGGGCGAACCTTCTTTTGATATTGTGCCGTTAATTTTCTTATGTCATGTTGGCTAAGACTTGGCGGCAACTGCTGTTTCCCAAGCAGTTCACTGATAAATTTAATGGTCTGTAGAAGATTGAATGTGTTATGTTGACATTACGGAGTAGGACCCTTGATATATATTTATGAACAGATGCTTGAGACAATGGCTGAAACTTGATTTACAGTACATTTCATTCGTTCAGTTTGCAGTTACCATTTTTTCCTTCGACTAGGTCTTGCCAAATGACTACTTATTTGGAGTTTGTTGCCTTTTCGTAGAAACCACACTATTTCAACACCATTCCCTATGTCTTGTCTTGTAGACATGTCAAATAATGAATCTCCTATCTGCGTAAACTTTAATGATGGGTGCTGTTGAAGAATAGCATTAAGAGCTTTAATACCATCGCGATCGAAAAATTTCCAGTCAAGTTTATCACCTCTCAAACTTGGTTCCATTCCCCGAAGCTTATTTCATGCATTCTCATGCTATTTAAGTGAATGATAAATTCTAATTCTGACAATCTCCCGTCTTCATCATAGACAACTACTGTACTTCCATTATCTTGTATTGGTAATTTCTTTGTAGCAAACGCGCGATATTGTTAAACCAGTCGTCGCGCTTAATCTCTACAAGTCGCGCCAAAACTCTTCGTTTGTGATTTTTCATAGCATTGGACCCATGAAAGAGTGACAGCGTTTTACTCTTTTCCTCATCTCCTGTCTCTTTAATAAATTTCTTGAATTCAATGTTATATTGATATTTTGTCAACTTTAGTCGTTAAAGGGTAAGAATTGGATAAATCAGCCTTTTTCGCTCTTTGAATCCAGCCCCATAACCTATTTTGGATAATGTTGGTAGTTTGGCCAAATACAAAGTCAAAGGTTCTAGACTGCGTTCAACTGACGTTTGACGTAAGAATTTATAATTATATTTATGTTTAAGCATGTACATAATCTTTGAATTTCCACTCAATTCCCAGAGCGTTTAAAAAAAAATAGCATCTATTGGCTGATTAAATCAGCAGTTGTCCTTTGGGATCACCAATAACCCCATGGGAAGAGTCGTAAATCACATTCCCTCTGAGAATTGTCTTTTTCACGACACCGTGCAAAGTTCTATGGATATATGGAGTGAATTTATTTTTAAATTGGATAATGTCCCTGGTAACCTGCAATATTAATATTGTCAATCCAAAAGTTAATTTGATCAATGTAAGCAATTCAAATATCGTGCACGTGGGACCAACCGTAAAAGTCTCTTCAGGATTCCAGATGACAATGTCAGCATCATACCCTTTCTTTATTGCACCCTTGCGATCATCAAGAGATACTCTTTTGGCTGGACTCCTTGACAGCCATTTTACAAGATCATTAATGCTGCGGCAAGCATTAGGGAGAATAGCCTTTAATGTCACACAAGTAAAATATAAAGAAATGTCAAATGATAACATATCATACTTGCAACCATGTTTCTTTGCTTCAGTCCATAGTACAGGCAATCCAAATTGTAGCGTAGAAATCCCTCCCCATGCGTTTATAAAGTCGCCTTCATCAAAACGTTTCAAGTTTGCAGTGCAAGGAGAGTGGTCGGAAACAACATCGTCAATAATACCATCTTTCAGTGCCTAATGGATTTTCATACAAATCAATAAAGAAAGCCTAATTGTTCTATAGGCAACAAACGATCTGGTTACATACTTGCCAAAGCTTTTGTCTGTTAGCTTCATTTCTAATTGGTGGACAGCATTTAAATTCTGTGTGACCAGCAGGGATATCCTCAGCAGAAAGACATAAATAATGGAAACAAGTTTCAACTGTTAATGGTAGACCATCATCTTTTGCCTTCTTAATAATGTCTAAAGCATCTGCTGTAGAAAGATGCACAATATGAGTTGGTACTGTTTTATATTCATTAGTAAGCTGTACTATAAGTTTAATTGCATTTAACTCAAGACTAGGTGGACGAGATAGAAGGAAACGCTGATAGTTTTGCGACTCGATTTGCTCATTATCATCTGCCTGTTCACCATTACTCATCTCTGCATGAAACATGAATACAGTGTTTTGACTCTGCATCAAATATGAGCAACCATCAGTTTGATTCTTACTTAAGAGTCAGCAGCTTGATGCGAAACATACTGTTACCTGAAGCTTTTCAAACGCTCTTCTTGCATCAGTTTCATTTACGCACGGAAACTCATCAACCCCGCTTTCAATCAAAAAACATTTAAACCCTCGAACGCCAGCTTTGATTAATGGTACGATTTCATTCTGTACACGGAACGTGAAAGCATAAATATTATCGGTATAATTGTAGCGCACACTATTGAGAAGATTACCTGGTTCCCGGGTATGATACCTCCATAAAATCCAACATCAACCCAGCATCTACCTGTTGCTGTTTGACGCTTAATGTCGAAATTAGCTACAGTCGTTGTTGGTGGGATTGAATTTAAAGGCATTTCGATGACAGTTGTAACTCCCCCTACACAATTGTCCTTCGTTATCGGTTCACTGATAATCTTAATTGGCCAAAATACAAGTTATACCTGCTGCTGCTGCTTTTGTTCCGCTCTCAAACCCCTCCCATGCCGTTCTGCCTGGATCGTTCAGATGAACGTGAGCATCAACAATGCCCGGCATAACAACATCGTCGCCTGCATCAATAAATTCTGTTGGGGCGAGAGATGGGTAGTCTTTCAATGACAATTTAGTGGGGATAACATTAACGATATGTCCATTTTTTTTTGAAATCTCGATCGTGGCCGGAGAGGGCAGCGAACTATCAAGTGCAAGCACTTTGTTGCTTGTGATTATGAATAAATCATCCAGAGCCATTCTTGTTAAAGTTGATAATACTTGAACAACTACAACTTAAACTATAAACTGTTGCACAAGAACAAACACTCATAACGGTAACGATCGATGGCCTCATATGGCTGACCAAACTTGTTGGATAGCCCCCGACAGTTGAAAAGATGCCGTTCTCATTTCATAGTCATTCTGGTCAGTTTTGTGAACATGCAAAGGGCACATTGGAAGAAGTTGTGCAAGAAGCGATTAAAAAGAATTTCATCATGTATGGTTTATCAGAACATTGTCCGAGATATCGGGAACAAGATTTATACCCTGAGGAAGTAAGCATTATCTTGTAACATTTTATAACTTGATTTTTCGTAATTCTTATGCATGTGAATTGCTCTGCCATATTTATGATAGTTCCATTTAAAACCATCCGACCTTATAGACACTTTTACTGCCTATGTGCATGAGGCTCGAAGACTTCAACAAAAGTACCAATCACAAATCACATTAATAGTTGGGTTGGAATCGGAAACAATTAACTCGTCATCTTCAACTGAAGCACTATGCCTTAAGTCAGAACATAATCTTGACTATATATTAGGGTCAGTTCATCACGTCCATGAGACGCCAATTGATTTTGATGAAGAGCAATTTGCTATTGCCTTGAAAAAGTCATCAAATGACGAGGAAAAACTGTTTGAAGCATATTTTGATGCGCAGTATAAGACTTTAAAAGAAGTCAAACCATTGATTGTGGGCCATTTCGATGTGATAAGAATATACAGGCCGAACTGGCAACTTACACAGACAGTTTGGGAAAAAATTCAGAGGAATATTGATTATGCCATTGACTATGGTGGTTTATTCGAAATTAATACCGCCGGTTGGAAAGTAGGACTGCCTGACGCATATCCACAAAGAGATATCCTTCAGGTATCATAATAGTTTATTTTATGAATTACTCAACGCCGTTACGTGAACTCACTTTTAATTTAATTTTTAGTTGATTATCTCAAAAGGTGGACGATGTACAATATCTGATGATAGTCATGGACCTTCGACTGTCGGAAGGGACTATGACAAATTATATAAATATCTAAAGGAGATGGAGATTTATACTTTATATTACTTAGACTACGGAGATGATGGCAAGAGCATGGTTGTCAAAGAATTGAAAGACGCCTTGGAGCATAAGTTTTGGGATCAGTGGACTTAATAAGTCGATACGTTGAAGTATGAGGTGTCTTGATCACATGGACACGTCCCACCGCTATCATTACAAGTAATTGTATTTCAAAAATCCTGAGATTCCGATAAAATTGATTTTAGAACATCTAGAATAGAATCTTTGAATACTTTTTCTGAAAATTTTTCCATGGCGAGCTGGCGTGCATTAATCTGAATGTTCCGCTGTTGAAGGTCAGACATAGTGAATATTGTATGTAATGCTGATGCGTAAGACTCGTCATCGCTTGCCAAGAATCCTACAAAATTATCAATATTAATATTTGCTATAAGAATCACGCAGATTATCTCAAAAGTTACCTGTCTTGTCGCCCTTGTATGACACGACAATATCCATTTTTGGACCACCTGAGTTGTGTGCAAGCGGAATTACTCCTCCTGCCTAGTAAGAGATGACGTTAAATTTCTTCTCATATGAATGCACAAGTTGTTTCTAATTGAGCCTACCATATATTCAACGATTCCTATTCCAAAATGTTCATTCCACATTGTATGAATTCCAACTTTTGCTTTCGCCATCCAGTCGATAAGTTTTGCAAAGGGTGCATTGGTTTCAAAAATGACATTGTGCTAGACAAATTTTGTTTAGTTAGCAAACATGGTCAAAGCAAGCATAAAAAAATTTTAAACATACGGGTCGATAGAAAGTATTACTTCGATATTCAAGTTTTTGCATTGTTCTTTCAATTGTTTTACGCGCAATTCATCTGATTCATTTCTTGAACTACCAATAAGCACAAGCGTGACTGCTGCAGGTCCTGTCCGAAACTCGGCATATTTCTGCAAGAACTTTTGAAGCGCTTTTAATTGCAATTGATGGTCTTTTTCTGGCCTAATGATTATATTACACGAACAGGATAAAGTGGTTCAATAATGCGCTAATCCGGATAATCAATGGATAGTTGAACCAGTTACGACAAATGATTGATAATGTTCGTCACCTAAATTGAGCCACGCTGACAATAATGTTTGCCCTGCCTTCTATTGATAGTCTTGAGAATGCAGTAGTATCACATGGAGGAAATACAACTTTGCTATCCGTGCCCCACAGTTCATCAATATGACCTTTAGTCCAACTAGAATTTACCATAATCACATCAGCGAAACTTCCAGCAAATGAATATAACTTAGCAAAAATCCGGTAATATCTGCATATAGTAAACAATGTGGAATTAGATCAAAATAGATGTCGTATTGAATATCGGATCAGCCTTAATTACATTAGTTTTAAATCGCTGTATAGCGAACTATTGGCGATTGCCTCATCATTGTTGAAACCCGTTCTTCTTTCATGAACTTTATTCAGCATGTCCGAACTGTATCAGCACATAAATAATCTCAATTAGACAAAACCATCATTAAGTAGAGGGTAGAACGAATGAAATAATTGTTACCTGATGGTAGGGTAATGAACATACGCGGCGACTTTACAATTTGTTAGATACTTCACCAGGGGATATGTAAATGCATATCCCATGGTATCTATAATGACAAGATGGTTAATAAAGTCAACAATTAAAAATACATATATTTGGTTAAACGTTTAGTACCAAAAAAAATATCTGGAACAAGCGTCGTTAAAGCCTCCCATCCAAGGAAAACGGAACCGAGACTTTGTCCAAGCAGGGTAAACCGAGGATATCTATACACGCAGCGTTGAAAGTCAATCAAACGCGGTACTCAGATTTCAGAATCATCCAAAGTCCGATTACCGTCTATCCTCAACTAAGTTTCTCTTCTTCAGATGTACGAATGTCAATGTATCCTGGTTGAGCACTATATTAAAGCGCGCCTTCGTGTTAAAAAAGTACAATTTGTTATATTGGGCGAATGGTTCGCAGGGACTAAATATTTGTTATAATACCTCGACTTTTTGCAATATGCCTTCTTTCTTTACATCAGTATCCCCTGTATATATAGCGCAGACGACATACGGATACGCCTCTTGTATAATACGAATAATGGTCCATAGAACTCTTTCGCCTCCTCCACCAGAATTACTGCAAGCGAAAGTTCAAACTTAAGCATATATGCATGCTAACGTTATTTAGTATTCGACAAAACCCTTACCAATACGGATGAAAAAAGCCTATTAATAAGACAGGATTTTCTTCTGCATTTGGTCGAAGAGTTGATAATATCGTCTTTCTATTAACCTTTGCATTCCGTGCAAGAATTCGTTTCAAAACAGTGATTCCATAATAGGAGAGAGCAACTAAAATCGATAATATGGTGACCAAGATAACGAATATGTTGGATAACGAAAAGCTATCTACACTCATGAATGATCTATTGTTTAGAGCGTGCAGTAAAACTAGACAAGTGGAATATATGACGTCACAAAAGGGATTGTATTTGTAGATGGGCAAGTCTTTCGTCAAATTCATAGACAATGGTGATAGGTACATATGTTGGCTTCCCAACAGGATCAGCCAGCAAATCTTAATCAAGGCGCCGAAGGGCAAAGATGAACAAAGTAATCAACTCTCGGCCGTGACTGCTCAATCAGTCTCGAAGTTTGGGACTTTTTTTGTCTAAGCAAAAATTAATAAAGCAATGTGAACTACTGTGTCATATATTATTTTTTAGTCATGTACGTATGTGATATTAATATGCACCAGAAAAATAAAGTATCGTCGTGATCGCCTGCCGAGATGTGTATTCAATTTTCAGTATGAATTATTTATTGGTATAAAGTAAATCATATATAATAATAAACATTGTATAAATCAGTCATGTTAGACTCGTGATTTTTTTGGCAATTCTTGCTTCGGAGTATCGTCCCATCCTTCTCTTTTTACGCTGAGCAATCAATTTTTCTCTTGTATAACGGACACACAACTGTATAATAATTATCTTATCATTACCAAATAGTGACATTTTGAAATATAGATGATAAATTCGTGCATATACTTACTGCCCACTTTATT